GAATGCCACAAATTCACCTTAATCACTCGTACGCACAACTTAAGAACAAATCTGTGCGTATGAACAGTTCTTGCATGAGGCCCATTTTTTCCAACATGAAGTTTCACTATAAATCCTCCGGTCGGTAGGGGGCGGTAGTAGCCAGGATCTATCTCTGTAACTACATCAACTCCGCCAAACGCGGTCACGAAGTAGAATGGTTGACAGATAGAGTCAAAACTGTCAAACTTTTAGTAGTCTGAGTGTATAAAAAATTAGTAAGTTCATCATGAACACCGCGCTGAAACACTGGAAGGAGGCAGCTACTCTCATCTTGGCCGCAGGACACAGGCTGGGCGCCGACAGTCTACCGTGTCGGACTCCGCAGGTCAGCGGGAACACGGGCTCTCTGCCCCGCGGCTCCCTCTTTGATTACCACGTTTTGATGCTCAAACGGAGCTCTAAGAGCGGGTTCATGCCCAATGCTTATGTGTTTCCCGGCGGCGTGGTCGACCCCTCGGACTTTTCCAGCGACTGGTTGGACATTTTTAAACCCTTCACTGGCTCTCCCAGTTTTGGGTTAAGAGGCGTGAAGCAGCCCGCGGAGAGCAGACCCCCGTTATTCGCGACTGACCGGGTCAAACTGGGCTCTCCTGTCCCGGGAGAGGTGGCCCTGAGGATCTGCGCCCTGAGGGAGACGTTTGAGGAGTCCGGCGTGTTGTTGGTCGTGTCGAAAAGAGAGGAGAAGCGTTTTAAGGGCCTGGAGGACGGCTGCGACGTCTGCAGCGGTGAGCTCACAAAGTGGAGAGATCTGGTGAACCAGAACCCGTCCAACTTCATCAGGATGTGCAGGGAGCTGGAGATACTGCCCAACATCTGGGCTTTACACGAGTGGTCCAACTGGCTGACCCCTGAGGCCAGATATGGCACCAAGAGGTTTGACACGGCTTTCTTCATGTGCTGTGTACAGGAGACACCAAGGACACTTCAAGATGAAAAGGAAATTGTTCGCTTTCAGGTGATTCCAGATCCCAGGGTGCTTTTAAAATGACACACATGCCCATAAAATAATTTAAAGTGCCTGTGGCATCCATTTCTGTAATAAACATAAAGATAATAATCACGGATTGCAAAATAATATGCCAGTTATGTGACAAAATGTGTAAAATCCTGTTATGCCAAGTTTCCTAAATATAGTTTGTATATATTTCTTTGACTTTTTATATTTGAAGTAGGTTTTGGGCAATATTGGCAAAAAATAAATTTAATCATGATTAATTGTGGTGTTTAGCCGATAACGATTAATTTGACGATTAATCCCCTGAAGTCCCTGGACCCCCTTATGTCCTAGTCACATGACCAATTTAGTGGGAAAGATTTGCTTTTCATAAAAATCTGTTCCAATTTGTGTCAAAATTACAGACTTCAGGCTATACTTCAAATTTTAAATTGTATTGATAAATAAATTACAGAACGTTTTTTTTTTTCTTAATGCTCTTCATATTTGAAGCGGAGAGGAGCAGCGAGCGAACTCTGCCTGGTGGCATTAATCGTATTAATCACCAAGTACAAAAAAAATTGATTGTTTTTCTGACTATTAATCGCACACGATGCCCAACCCTAATTTGAAGTATATACATGTCACAGGCACTTTAAATTTATAACACTGATGTGTTGGATGTGACAAACTTAAAGGGATCCCCAATTAGTTGTAACATTAGACTTTATTTGATAAACATATGTTTTAACTGTAAAATAAAGACTGTAAAAATACTGTAGGATGTTTAGTTTTTATACTTTTTAAACTAAAAGTTTAAAAATATATTTTAACACGGACGGAGCCATTTTATTTACTCGCAAAGCATTCTGGGTAAATGATGACGTGGATAGGTCCTCGGTGTAAGCGAGCTATATCCACCC